CAAGTCATTAATGAAAATATTGACAGACCCCTGTGCGACCCTACTAGATATATCTCCCATTTTGACAGTGAAGTATTGATAACTACTCTTTGAGTTCAGTGTTTCAACCAGTTTTGCACCCACCTTGTTGTAAATTTCATCTAGACCACATTTCCCTAGTTTACTTATTAGACTGTCTTGGAAAAAAATCAAAATATGTCCACAGCTTCCCTCCCGCCTGTAATCTGGTAGGCCAGGAACCCTGTCACAAAAGAAAATAAGTTTGGTTTTGTGTGCTTTGTTCTTGACTAATCCATGTTGGGTTTTCCTTATAACCCTGTTATCCTCTAGGTGCTTCAAATTGATTGTTTAATAATTTGTTCCAGTATATCTCCAGGTATCAAAGTAAGGCTTGATTGGTCTATAATTCGCCGAGTCCCCTTTGTGTCATATTCTCTTTGTTCCCTGTTTTCAGGAGAAGGGCAAACTTAGTACCTATCTTTAAAAAGGGGAACAAGAGTATATGATCGTATACTATTACATAAGTAATAAAATATCATGTCATGTTTTTACTACAGCTGTCTAAGGTTCATTTTGAAAGTTTGGCCCCATTAGAGCCAAGCCTGATTCACTGTACTGCTTGTAAATTACTTTTTATTCTGGCTGGCTTGCTTCATAATATATAGCACTGAAATGTGCTGCACGTGAATCTTAGCTTGTAGAAAAGGATCTGTTGCGTATGATCATGCACAAAGAGTAGGTGCAAACTCAACAACTTTAATACTGGCATTTACTGACTTGAGTGTTTAAATGTGCCATCAGAATTGTCTCTAAACAAAAGCTTTTATGGAATTTTCTTTAAATTTAAGCTGCCAAGAGTGTTTAGTTCAAATATTGATGCATTGGTTGAACTTTCCCTATTTTAACTGTTCAAATGTTTTTAGTCACAAGGAGGAAGGGTGCAATTAAAAGTTATTCAGTTTGTTTTGCAAGGAAGGAATTTTACTAATCTGAACTAAACATAGCTAGTTTTTCAATTATATATTCTTTTTAAAATAAAAGCTCTATAAAAAGTAAGATTACATTTATGATGAAACCTGACAAGCAAGTTTTAATATGTATTTTGTAAAATGAAGGCTTTTACATGGGAGACAGTGTAGTTCAACGTGTAGGACATTGAGCTGGAAGTTCTAGTCTTGGCTCTGCCACAGAGCTGCTTTGTGTCTTTAGTCAAGTCACACTCTTTGTTTGCCTCCTTTCACACCCTTGGCCTGGTCAAATTGTAAGCTCTTCGGGATAGGATTTGTCTCTTAATGTCTGTACAGTTCCTAACACAGTGGTGCTTTGATCCTGGTTGGGGTCTGCAAACTCATTTATAATACAAATTAATTTGTAGACCCTTCAAAAATGCATTTGTAACAATCTCAAAATTTAATATTGTTGAAAGTAACTATTTAAAACCATATATTAAATATTTACAAAGGTAAAATGATCCATGAATGGGAACTAATTGCTTCAGAGGAAGGTATCCTTTCAGTTACAGTTCCTAGTCCTATATCCTGTCTAGGTTAGTTTTGTTCAAAAGTCATTATGGTCCGATGCCTCTTGAGTTGTCCGTATTAAATGAGTTGGTCATAGTCTTATCCAGTCTGAGTGGACAGGTAGTGACATCACCAGAATCACAACTAGCACTTTTGTTACCTGTTTCAGCAGAGATGACTTTTTAAAAAAAGGAGGTATTGAATAGATTTGGAGAGTGAGCTTTCAAGCTCAGTCGCACTGAGACGATCCATCTTGATGACTATAAATCAGCACCTTTTAAAAATCTTAAAACACATTTTAGACAACAGTTGGCCTGGAACTCATCTAGAGACCTTCCCACACAAAAATTCTTCTAAAACATGTAGATTTGACACTTCCATACAATCCTTTTTCACTATCCTCTAACCCGGTGGTTCTCAACCTGTTTACCATTGTGGACTGCACTGTGTTATGTGGGCTGCATCCAATTCTACCTGTATAGCCCTAAGGATGTCCCATGGGCCGTGGGTTGAGAACCACTGCTTCTAATCTATTATATGTACTTACCTAATTTCAGATTTCTTACCTTAAGACAACCTAGATCCAAAATGCTTAAAATGTAAAATCTCTGACAACCTCATTAGTACATGTAAGGGTCACAATAGCACTGGAATAGATGATTGTTGTGCACTAAATACCTGTATAATTATCCTCTGCTTATCTTTTAATTGATCACTAGAGTGTATTGTGACAATACAACTGCTACTTATGATAAAATTGCTCTGGAAAGAACTTTGTTACTTACTATGATCAAGTTGATTATTTTTTTTACTACTTTATATTGGTGCTGTGAATACTTTGGGCAAGGGTAGGAGGGAGTGTGCATCTGACTTTCATCCAAAGTGTAAACCTCCTACATATATGACAGAAGGTTTTGTCTTTCTGAGAAGTCTAGGGGGTTTCTGTTTACATAGGTGTATAAAAGATAGTTTTTAAAAACGAGCCTCTGAGAATTGGGAATACTTGAACATCCCCCTAGCGTGGCAAAGATGATGCTGGAAAAAAGCCTACTTCTGCATTGTCAGTCAGGAATATTTACTTAAAGAAAGCTACCACATGCCCTTTGTGGTTCTCAAAAACGTAAATGATTTTACAGTTCTCAAGTACCTGAATCGCAGACACCGTTGTTTCAGCTCAGAAGATTGGACAGGATTTGCTGTGGAGGCCATCAGTGTTCTACCTTAGTAGAATGAAGGCATTGTTGAGCAACACAAGGCTCTTCTTTTCCATCCTGCTGCTGGAGCATGTAACTTCTATTCCTATTTCCAGCTCCTGACTGATCAGAGTGAGAGAGACCCACAGTGAGAGCAAACAAGTCTGACACACAGGACTGTGGAATGCTACAACTGAGCCACTGAATCAGAAATAGCAAGGTTTTTATGAATGTTGAGTTGAAGGAATTATCCCCAATAGTGTCACACAAGCTTTAATGTGGCATCCATTATGAGACTGTAGGGTTTTAACTGATTCTACAAAGTGTGCCCTCCTTCAGCTCATGAGCCTAACTTTGGTTTAAGAAGGCATTTTTGTTGCTGCTTCACCATATTCAGTGATTCACCTAAGTTCAGATGAATGTTGCAGTTGAGATTTCATGATCAATAAATTCTGGTGTCTGAGTGGGAAAGATCTATCTACAGCTTTTTGGATCACTAGGTAATTTGTTGATCTTGTAATGTATTTCTGTTCTTTGGGGGAAATGATTCAGATCCTAGTGGGCAATTTTGAAACCACATCTTATGTCAAAAAGAAGGGCATAGTTAATTTGGATGTAGCCTTTGATGATAGATGTCTGCTTATTTATACTCCCCCCCCCCCCCCCCCAAAAAAAAATCCCCTTCTCCCAGCAATAGGAGTTGTGCTGCTTGTTGTCCATGAAATTGTGTTCTGTGGAAGAAATCCCAGACAGAGAAATTGAGAACTCACCAGTCACTGGAGTTCTCCTATTAGGAATTTTTCTATGAATTTACTCTCAGACAATTTGTGGCTATTTAACTACAGCATGTTATGTAGAAATGAAATCAGTTGAGAGTTGACTATACCAACACATTAAAGCATGTAAGGTGCTGTAGAATAACTGAAAAATAAATGTTGAACTTTATTTTTTAAAAAATCTTGCTATAATACTTCTCCCATGCTTTTAAACTGCATGTTGTCAGAGGTTCATATAATTTAGAGGGGGCTTAATTACTCATTTTAGGACTCTTCCATTCCCCTATTAGTGCAGGATTATTCTGGTCAGCGCATTTTAGTGTTTCTGTCTGGTTTAGACTGAAATGTGCCAAATGGTGAGTTCTCTTGATAGATTATACAGGGTAACACATTTTACTGTCAGATTTTTTTTCTTGATATTAAGCATGTGGTTTTATTTTTCCTGTTTAGTTTCATTCCATGAATCCTATTTTTACGACCTTTTTATATATATTCATCAGAATCCAGATCATATATTTGTGCGGGAAGGTACTTGGGTATGTGTGCTGAAGGTTCACCATCTCTGGCAGTGAATAATCAATACCATACTCTGAGAAATAATACACTAGTGCTATTGACTTAACACTACAGCCACCTCTTTCAAGACAACGATTTTAGGATTGGAGAGCATATCATTCCTAGATTTATTGTGAATAGGCTTATATCCTGTGCTTATATTGCAATTACATTGCTCAAATCTTTAAATACAAAACATTACATGAACTTATTATTTAGGTTGCTGTCACAGAGTCCCCGGGCGATGCTCTGGAGCTGCTCTGGTGGAAGTCGTGTGAGCTTCTTGCTCTGAAGACAGGCTGCTCACAGAGAGGAGACTTCACCAGAGTCCTGACTGGCTTTGTAGGGAGCAGTTCCAGAGCATCGCCCTGGGGACTCCATGACAACAACGATTATAGGATTGGAGATCATATCATTCCTAGATTTATTGTGAATAGTGGCAAAGTCAGGCACTCAGAAATTAGGAAATGCCGTAATTAAGGTTGCCTGTGCCGTAAGTCCATTACGGTTCTAGTAATCAAGAAGCCAACTTGAGAGCCTGTACTCTACCACTACATCACACTCAAAAATCTTCTGCCTAGAAGTCTTGGATTTAATATTGGAATTGCTACTATATTACAATACAGTGAATGTGCAAAGAACTTTTGTCTGAATTCATTTTCTGCTGGGGCACCTGTATGCTTCTTACCGAAGTAGTTGTTTGAATAGGAACAATATAGGAATATGTTTTAGTAACTGTGTTCACTGTGGGCTGTCACACTGCAATTTGCAAAGGACGCTCATTTCACTGATTTTTTTTTTTTTTTTTTTTAGTGGCTTGAGATTCCCCTCTCCAAGTTTTTCCTCTCCCCAAAGTAGCATGTTTAGCACAGTAGAATAAGTCTGAAGGTTGCCAACAGTCCTGTTATATTCCAAGAGAGTATTGAATGAGCAACTTTCATATTTTTTCTTCCCAGATGCACAATCAGAGAAGAAGATCGTGTTTCTGATTTACCACAACTGGAGAGTCATAAGTAAGTTTGATTTCTGACATATAAAGATTTTGGAGCATGTTTTCTGTTAGTTCTTTATACTGCTTTTGTTTCAGAATGTCAGTGATATACTTCACTGTGTAATGTATTACCTTGCAGTCCATGGTTAGTGACATCCTTGACTAGCTCTACTGCAATAGCACCTATCACGTTTGCAGCTATTATAGAGGAAGAGCTCCAGCAAGAAGCAGCTCTTATCAGGAGCAGAGAGAAACCTTTGGCTTTGATCCAGGTAAAGGAAGATGTATTTTTTTCACTACCTCTTTTAGAGATGACATTTTAGAATGAGCTATTCATATGCTGCATCGTGTCTACCAGCTGTTAAAACATAACTTCAGGCTCGTTTTGGGAGGGTAGGGCTATCCCAGGTGTGGGCAAACTTTTTGGCCTGAGGGCCACATCTGGGTATAGGAATTGTATGGCGGGCCATGAATGCTTACGAAATTGGGGTTGAGTGTGAACTCTGGCTGGGGGTGCGAGCTCCGGGGTGGGGCCAGAAATAAGGAGTTCAGAGTGCAGGAGAGGTCTCTGTCTGGGATGGGTCTGGGGATGAGGGATTTGGGGTATAGGAGGGTGCTCTGGGCTGGTACCGAGGGGTTCGGAGGGCAGGAGGGAGATCAGGGCTGGGGCAGGGTGTTGGGTGCGGTGGGTGGGGGTGGCAGCTCAGGGGTTCAGGCTCCGGGTGGCACTTACCTCAAGAGGCTCCTGGAACCAGCGGCTAGTCCCACCTCCGGCTCCTACACAGAGGTGCAGCCAGGTGGCTCTGCTGCATGCTGCCCCATCCGCAGGTGTGGTTTCCGGCCAATGGGAGCTGCAGGGGCAGTGCTTGGAGTGGGAGCAGCGTGCGGAGCAGAGCTCCTTGGTTGCCCCTATGCGTAAGAGCCGGAGGGAGGACATAACCGTTGCTTCTGGGAGCCGCGTGGAGCGGCCCCTGACCCCGCTCCCCAGCTGGAGCGCCGGAGCAGGGCAAGCCCCAGACCCTGCTCCCCAACGGGAGCTGGTGGGCCAGATCCGGCCCGCGGGCCATAGTTTGCCCACCCCTGGGCTAGCCTGACAGTATTTGGGGACTTTAACTGCTAGGGCTACGTTCTATATTCCCCAATTTTCTTTGCCTGCTCTCATGGTTTGGAGTGTGTTGCCTTCTCCCACTCAGCCAGTCCATGAGTGTTTTAGAATCTGTTAGGATGTATGGCCCCAGGACCTGCCTGGCTAACAGGTTGGTTTTTTTTAAAGACCTAGCATGCAAAACATATCTGTATTTGAATGAAATGAAGAATATTCATTGATTACTGACGTGCAGGATGTATCATTATTCAGGGCCATTAAACCTTATTGGCAATGGTAATTTGTTTTAAAAGGTAACGCTGTTATACATTGAACAGTTTCCATCCCCCATGAGATGATTTCTTCTAGACCTGATTATAAAATGCTGACTTCCCCTTCCCCTCCTCTCTTTCTTTCGTCCTTCAGATTGAGGAGCGTGCTATTCAGGATTTGCTAATCCACTACGAAGCTTTTGACAACCCTGATGAGTTTGTTGTCGTTGAAAGGGCTCCACAGGGACCTATTGCAACACCTTTGTGGAACAAGCACTGAAGCTAATCCATCATGAATTTCATGAAGATGTGTCTACTTCAGAGTTTTTGACTTTTATTACAGGTAGAATTGGAGTGCGGGAGCAGTCTTGTAAATGTAGTATCAGTGTTTAAAATGCTGCACATAATCTGCATGCATCTGATTATAGTGGGGAGAGAATGCAGACTATAATTTGTTAGTGTCCATTATTCACACCATATGATGTATGTATGTTTTGACAACAAACTTTTTACCATACCCTGTGTTAATAACATTCTATATAAAATTGTAGATTGAAAATACATTTGCTTATATTGAGGTTTAGTCCATGTTAGGACAGTAAGGGTTTTTGTTAAATTCACAGGTGGTGGGGAAAAAGTAGGCCCTAATTTTGTGATTATTGTAAAACTGATGGTGCAAAATTATGCATCTTTTAAATGTGGGTGTTTTAATCAGGATTGACATGACAGATTAGAAATATCCCAAATGTATCTTTGCTTAAATTTAGTCTAAAAATACCATTTGAAAATGCAGTTTTTCATAACCTCTGATGTGTGTGTATGAGTACTGGTTCTCTCGGCTATGGTGGCTAGTACTTTTGACTGTTAGTCTTCATGGTGAGCCTCTGTGCTGGACTTGATGTGCTCTGCTACTACCTGCTTCCAGTTCAGTTGTGTGTGTTTTTACACTGTTGTTAGATTGACATTTTGAGCCGCCCAAGCTCTGTTATGGCTTAAAACAAACACAGTTCAGTGGGATGTGGTATCACTAGTTGGATCATCCATGGTGTATTCTGGTAAATTGGTACAATTTTAGAACCACTGTATTAAAGTGCTGAGGAAATGCAAAACCTGTATGTTAAATATTAGAGCTAAAAGGACGAATGCTTAACTGTGGATTTTGAGAATGCCTAACCTGCAAAGATTTCATGGCTGGCTTTTCAGTATTGTGTATTCAAAAAGTTCTTTGTGCCTGGTTTCTCTGAACAGATTTATAAAAATTGTTTAATAGCCTTATGTACAATATGCTGTCTTGTTGGGTTGTGTTGTGTTTGGGTAGTTAAATGTGGACTTACCAGTTTCAGTAATCTCAGCGTTTACAGATCCTGGGCAAACTGGAGAGGATCAAGCTTAGAGAAGGTATACCCAGATGGATATACAAAGCAATCACTATGTGATAAATTGAGTCTTGGAAAAGAATGTAGCTGCATCTAATGGCTTCAGGTGAGCTACATTTAAAAAAGAAACCCCGTGTAAACAAATTCAATAAACATTAAAATCTTGATTCACACAAATTTGTGTACTTAAATTTTTGTGTGCCATTGTATAAAAATTGACTTTTGTGGCAATTGGAGTATTCTAAAAGTATTTTCATTTTATGTGGCGCATGAACAGTGTGCTTAATACAAGATAAAATGTCAAGTAAACCCCTACAAGGGGGAGAGGATTGCTGTGGAAGTGAAATTTAAAAAGCGTAATCTGAAGACAGAAATTCTTCAAAAACATGTGAAATCCTTTATTTATAGATATGATTAAAGAGTTGTGACTGATAGGATAGACAAAAGCTAAAATGCCAAATTGTCCTGATACAAGTATAATGCCATTAGTCTGCAATATGTTAATTTTCATGTACTAATATAGGACTTTATTCTGTTTTCCTGATTGAGGTTCATGTCACCAAAAGCTTGCATTTAAATATTTAAGAAAGGTATTTTAAAAGGCCAGTCTTATTTTATCAAACAATTTTGTATATGAATGTTTTAATTTCTTGAACTAAACGATACATCAGCATCAACTCAGTGAAATAAATTTGAGATTATCAATTCAATCCTTTTTTTAAAAGCATCTCTTAGGAAATACATGCATGAGTTTTCTCTTTAGAGAATTTTACCTCAATAATCTTTAAAATTAGCACCTTCTCTTTAACAATACTTTCTTTGGTTGTAATGAATAATATATTACTGCCCAAGGAAGTATTAAGAAATAGTTATATTAATGACAAACAAATTAGTAGCATACACTTATAAAACTTATTTAGAATGACAAATCCCAAGCCATGTTAAAATGTATGTTAACTAAATACATGTACATATTTTCATTCTTCCAGCAATAATTAGGAAACAATTAAACTACCCCATGGGAAAACTATCTGAATGTTATGAACTTGTTAACTGATAGTTACCAAAACTGATAGTAATTACCAGTTGCTATTAAAATTGGAGTTACTCTAAGCTGGGAGAACACAATTTGAGAATATAATTAACATATTACATACAAAAACCTTCATGAAAAGGACATTATTTAGGTTGCAAAGTTAAGCACTTGAAAGTTAGGAAATGTCAGATTTACAATTGCCTGTTTCAGAGTACCAGCCGTGTTAGTCTGTATTCGCAAAAAGAAAAGGAGTACTTGTGGCACCTTAGAGACTAACCAATTTATTTGAGCATAAGCTTTCGTGAGCTACAGCTCACTTCATCGGATGCATACTGTGGAAAGTGTAGATCTTTTTATACACACAAAGCATGAAAAAATACCTTCCCCCCCACCCCACTCTCCTGCTGGTAATAGCTTATCTAAAGTGATCACTCTCCTTACAATGTGTATGATAATCAAGGTGGGCCATTTCCAGCACAAATCCAGGGTTTAACAAGAACATCGGGGGGGGGGGGGGTAGAAAAAAACAAGGGGAAATAGGTTTTACCTTGCATAATGACTTAGCCACTCCCAGTCTCTATTCAAGCCTAAGTTAATTGTATCCAATTTGCAAATGAATTCCAATTCAACAGTTTCTCGCTGGAGTCTGGATTTGAATTTTTTTTGTTGTAATATCGCAACTTTCATGTCTGTGATTGCGTGACCAGAGAGATTGAAGTGTTCTCCGACTGGTTTATGAATGCTATAATTCTTGACATCTGATTTGTGTCCATTTATTCTTTTACGTAGAGACTGTGTAACCTGAATTTGGCCCCTTTGTGCATCCAACCTCTGAACTTAATGAGGCCAGGTTCTTCCGGGGAAAAAAAAGCATGTGATGACGTAATTAAAGATCATAATGCACAGGCACAAGGGTGCTAAATTATGGTTGCACAAGCAACTGTAACTCTGGCATTTCCTAACTTTCAGATGCCTCATATCGCAAGAGAAGTTGTGACATGCAGAAGATCAAAAATCAAGCCGGTTGTAGAGCTGGGTGTAGAACCCAGACTTACCGACTCCTAGTTATGACCATGCTCCCTTCTGCCAATTATTTAAAACCCAATCAGAGCATTCTGTGAATACATGGCACCTATTCAAAACCATCAAAAACTTCAAGGCAAGAGTTTCCATTTTAGCACTCTGTGTCAAGATTCCCATGTAGCTAATTTTAATAACTTGAAAATTAATTCTCAAAACCCTGTTAGACAAAGACAAATCCTCTATATGTATTGTCTATACAGTATACTAGCACTTAATTCCAATTCTTATCTAGCTATAGCAGGAAGGAATAGATTTACATCAGGGCTTTTCAAACTTCACTGCACCACGACCACCTTCTGACAACAAAAATTACTACAGGAGGGATCAAAGCCTGAGCCCATCCAAGCCCCACCGCTGGGCAGGGGGGGGGGGCAAAGCCCAAGGACTTCATAGAATCATAGAATATCAGTATCATCCGCAAATTTGCTGAGAATGCAATCCACACCATCCTCCAGATCATTTATGAAGATATTGAACAAAACCGGCCCCAGGACCGACCCTTGGGGCACTCCACTTGATACCGGCTGCCAACTAGACATTCCCAGGCAGGGGGCCTGTACCCTCAGCCCTGCCACCCAGGGCTGAAGCCCTTGGGTTTGGGCTTGAGCCCTGGGCAGTGGGGTCGAGCTTCAGCCCCAGACCCCAGCAAGTCTAACTCCAGCCCTGGTGACCCCATTAAAATGGAGTCACAACCCACTTTGGGATCCCGATCCATAGTTTGAGAACCGCTGATTTAGATTAAACTGTTGCAAGCAAAGCTGCGGCAGTTCTGTCCTTTTCAGTGGCTCAACACTCTGTAAAAAATGCCTGCACTGTGAACTGTTAAGGGAGCCACTGCATCTGTTCATAAACAACTATGCCTTGTTTGAATTTGTGGTGTGTTTCCTGTAAAGATAAGCATAAAAATCCTACCTTTATGAAGAAATGAAATGCAAAATCTAATTATGATCAGTTCTAGTAACTTTTTATAATAACCTGCCTTAGTACAGCCAGGAACTTTGTAATTATCTTTATTACCTATTATGTTTTGGTAAAATAGTTATTTATCAAAAATTTGTCTAGTTCCTGGGTTAAATTTCCAGGACTTAATGTAAATTGGTATCTACAAAAGGCAGCGCCTCACTGTTTACAGTGAAATGAACATATGGCATCTTGGTGTGTAATTTCAAAACTCCTCACATTATGGCTTGTTGGCATAAGAATTGGGAAGTTAATAAAAGGCTTTTGATTCAATATATGCAAATATCCAGTTGCTGGGTGGGATGAGTGTTTTGAGAAGGATTAGCCGAAGTACTTTATTGATTTGTCTTCTCATTCATTATCTCAAACTTCAAAGCCACTTGCCCCCCCTCCAAAAAAAGGGAGGGGGGAGGGGCTGATTTGAAAACAATACTTTCACTTCTAATGGAGACAATATTATGTTTAAACAATTTTAATTTGTCTCTTTTTATACTGCTGCAGTAACTCCAGGCTATTGAAGTTTCCGGCACTTGATACCATACAGCATTGTGCTATAAGTCACCTGCTCTAAGGCATTTCAGAAATATGGCTAATCTGTTACTTTGCAACACAGGATAGATTAGTTAGAGAGGAGACCAAATGAGTGATTTCAATCAGTTAGTATAGCTGTAATTGCTGTAGTCTACAAGTAACCTTCATTGTTTATGAGCAGACTCCATATGGAGCATGCAGGAGAAAATCTTATAATACATACTGTTGCTTTAATTTCACAGGAGGGAGACTACTGACCACATATGCTCATTTAACTTGTTGTAGGAACCTCTTGATGGCAGTAACCACTGTTGTACTACTTTAACTATACATCTGTAGTTAACGCAGTATAACCCCTTTACTGTAGATGTACTTATACTGGGATAAAGTGCTTATACTGGTACAGTTTATTCCCATAGGGGAAGGGCAATAAGATTTATGGGGTAAACATGTACTCTGGCATCACTGCATCCACATTAGGGTTTGTACCAATATAACTATTTCAGTGAAGAATCAGACCCCAAACCAAAATAGTTGCACCATTACAAAAACCATGTGATGACTAGGCCTTACGGTAAGTTCAAAACACAAGGGGTGAAGTCCTGGCTCCTCTGAAGTCAATGGTAAAACTCCAACCGACTTCAGTATGGCCTGGATTTCACCAATAAATCTTATTTTGTCTCCTGAGATGTGCTAACAGATTAAGAAAATCTATTGTCAGTCTTTTTCTTTTCTGGAAGTGGAGGCCTCAGTAACAGTGAATAGTGAATAACACAAGCATAGTTACAGGTTTCAGAGTAGCAGCCGTGTTAGTGTGTATTCGCAAAAAGAAAAGGAGGACTTGTGGCACCTTAGAGACTAACAAATTTATTTGAGCATAAGCTTTCGTGAGCTACAGCTCACTTCATCGGATGCATGAAGCATAGTTGTTAGTAGTTCCTTAGTCTTTAACGTGGAGGCAGTGGTGAGGTTGGGAAATAGCTCTCTAGAGACAAAAGTGGGGTACTGTATTTTTTTTTTCTTTCAGTTCTTAATGAATAGTTTACTTTTTCCTAAATATTTTTTATGTTGTTCATTGAATTACTGTAGGAAAACTGATGGAAGGAATTTTGCTTACCTAGATAAGTTTGTTACCACAATCACTGTTTGAATCTGAATCTTTCACACAGCATCTTTTTGCAATTAAAAACCTTAGTTTATAGATGTATTAAAATTTCCCTATATAGCAATGAGTCTTGTATGTTAAGCAATCCAATAATTAAAACCATGCTTGAACACTTAAGCCATTCCATTGTTCTTGAGTGACTCGGGCAGCCACAAAGTAAAGGTGGTGCAATGTCTTCACATTGCATTTGGATGTTGCTGCTGATATTGCGACAGATATCAAATGATTTTATTTCTGACTCCAACGACTACAGTAGATTGCATTTTTAAAAGTTTTTTGCCAATAGTTTCAGCAAAGTAGTATTAATAGATTCTAAGGCCAGTAGAGATCGTGATGATCATCCAGTTTTACTTCCTGCATAACACAGACCATAGAATTTCATCAAGTGCTTCTGACTCTAAACACTCAGCACTGAAGAAGTTGATACTGCCCTCTTCTGCTGTTGCCTCCCAGAACTGAAAGTGTTGGTACAGCAAGAGTCAGAAAATCCCATATGTTCTTCGGTACTATAAGCTTTAATATCCGGGACTCATCAAATATCTGCACAAATGCAGCTGATGCCACAGGATTTCATATGCTCCAGAGATCTGTTTGTTTCTGAGGAACTAGAGTCTCCTGGGTTGAGCTCAAGACTCCCAGTACTGCAGCCTAACTTATCCCTGGACCTCACTTTTCACTACTACTGCCTGCCTCCCTGGTGTATCAATATGCACTGACAGATGGATAATTCCTCTTCCTCATATTCCGATAAAGGAGCAGACAAAGGAAGAGAGTTTTTCAGACTCTCAGATCTCAGTACAGGGCTCTGCTGGCTGGCTGACCACCTTTGATTACCAAGAAACTGCATAATCGAAGGATACTTCCAGGCTTTTTACCACCATGATCTGCCAAGTGTCTTCCCTGGTATGAGCAGTCCTGGCAGCCTCCTCCATTCCCATATTTCAGAACTTGATGAAAAGAGTGGCAGTCACTCTACAAATTCCATTAGAAGAAGTCCAAGATACCCAGCATAAATTGCTTGGTGTACATGCACCATTGTCAGCCTTTTCTACAAATAAGGTGCTATTAAAACCTGCCAAAATGATTGGGCAGACTCCTGCTGCTCCCTTACCCTGACAGCTAAGAGGGCAGATTAAAAAATATTATGCCCTGGCTAGAGCATTAGAAGTTTTATTTTCTCATCCTCCCCCTCATTCTGTGATTGTGGAGGCAGTGAATTAGCATAATAGGTAACACCATTCAAAGGTAACCCCACACAGTAAGGACCAGAAGTGCTTAGACTTTTTTGGTTGTAAAAGTTTTTCGTCTGCAACCCTGTAATTCCAGATTGCTAATTATCAGGCAATTCTGGCAAAATATAACCACATCAATTATACCAAGTTTAGGTCTTTCATTGAGCATTTACCACAAGGAGCAATTTCAGGATATTTTTGCAGAGGGGCAGATTTTGATGAGAACCATCTTGGAGGCTTCTCTCAGCACAGCTGGTATGTCAAGTAGCTCCATCTCAACTGCCATAGTCATGTGTAGATCCTCCTTGCTCCAGTGCTTGGAATTTTCACAGAAGGTCCAAAGCACAGCAGAGGACCTTATCTTTGATGGTTTGAAATTGTTTAGTGACTCTCTGTTGGAATACTCAGTTTATTTAAGAACTGACTGGAAGAGCTCCATTGCAACTGCTCTGAAATGGAGAATACACATCTGGGAGTAAACCAAGTAGCAACCGTCTCTCCTCTTACTCAGCAGGAAACAATAGTTTCTATCTGCCTTGAAAAGTTCTCAAAGAAATGAGAAAGTAAGGGAAATGATCCTAAAAGTTTAATTTTTGGTGTTCAGTCCTATGATTTCTTCCCATCTTTTTTCATTTCTTTGAAAATGTCAAAGATGAGGGAGGGGGAAAATTGAAGCATAAAGGCAAAACATTTGAGGCTGACTCCTCAACTGGTGTAAATCAATTGACTTCAATTGTAAATGAATTAGAGCTATACCTGTTTTATAACAGCTGAAGACCTAATCCATAGACTCAGTTAAGTGTAAATTGTATGGTACAAATGGGCCTGCCTTCCGTTAGTTAAAAATCTCTTTTCCATCCTACTTCTAGAGGAAAGTGTCCAGTGCATCCTTCAGTCAGTGGTAGGGCTGAAAGAAAACTACTGCGTTTTCCATAGGAAACTCACTGTTGAGAAAACCCCTGATATAGCGTCATATGCCTTTAGCCTTAAACATTAGTTTTCCTGTCTCATCGCAGCTACATCTGATTCATAGGTCACTGTTTACTTGTGTTAGGATCACCTACTTTCCAGTAAAAACCCAAGTTATTTGCTCCTCTTTGTTTTCCTGCAGTTGTGACGAATCATCAGCTGCACTATCTTGCATTATGACTCATTTTTAGGGCTATTTTTTGTCTAATTTCATACTAGTAGCTTTGATCTGGAGAGCACCGTGCCACATCTGCTAAATGTCCTTGATCACAACCCAACTCTTCCTCAGAGAACTATGCTTGCCTCACCTGATGATAGTGGTTGAAACAATAAGTGGAGAAAATGGCACTTACAAAAAAGATTGAACTAGAGAAGTGTTTTTTTCACACTCAGAGCTTTGATCCTACACTGTATTTTGTATAAGCCTTTATTGCAAAGAAAAAAATTACTGCTCCTTTTCCTGTTGTCTGTATTTTAAGATGTTTTCCAGATACATACTCGCCCACTTGTACATACTCAGAGGAGGTGAAATTGAGCTATAAGACTATAAACACAACAAAGGGTGCTGATCGCATCATTGGTAACCCTGAGTTTTATTTGTAACTTTACTAACCGGTTTTGTGTGTGTGTGTGTGTGTGTGTGTGTTCATATAGTTTAAAAAGGGTGCAATACTGTTTGCAAAATATTTATATTTGTTTCTCTTTAGCTTTCTCTGTTTACATGGTACATTTCTGTTTGCCGGAAAATAAGAAAGCAAATAAAATGTTTTTTCATACATATATTTTCAATAATGCTTTTCAATTAAAAATGCCTTTCATCATCTTTTGCAAACATTAATAAATTAGAGTGAGGCACAGTGGTAATGCACAATTAGCGTAGCTTCACAGATGGGGAAACAGAGGTTCAGAGATGGTAGCTGATTTACCCAAGATCAGACAGTAAATTCCTGGCAGTTCCAGAAAAAGAGCCCAAAGTCTCCTCTCTGAGCCTTCTGCTCTAACCACATGTAGCATTGCAGCTGTTTGCAAGATAAGCTGCCCCAAAACCTAATCTTTGGACTGATAAGAATTTTTTAATTTCAGTGATTCTATTACTGTAACATTTTCTGCAGAAAAGGACCTAGGGGTTACAGTGGACGAGAAGCTGGATACGAGTCAACAGTGTGCCCTTGTTGCCAAGAAGGCTAACGGCATTTTGGGATGTATAAGTAGGGGCATTGCCAGCAGATCGAGGGATGTGATCGTTCCCCTCTATTCGACATTGGTGAGGCCTCAGCTGGAGTACTGCGTCCAGTTTTGGGCCACACACTACAAGAAGGATGTGGAAAAATTGGAAAACATCTAGTGGAGGGCAACAAAAATCATTAGGGGACTGGAACACATGACTTATGAGGAGAGGCTGAGAGAACTGGGATTGTTTAGTCTGTGGAAGAGAAGAATGAGGGGGGATTTGATAGCTGCTTTCAACTACCTGAAGGGGGGTTCCAAAGAGGATGGCTCTAGACTGTTCTCAGTGGGAGCAGATGACAGAACGAGGAGTAATGGTCTCATGTTGCAGTGGGGGAGGTTTAGGTTGGATGTTAGGAAAAACTTCTTCACTAGGAGGGTGGTGAAACACTGGAATGGGTTACCCAGGGAGGTGGTGGAATCTCCCTCCTTAGAGGTTTTCAAGGTCAGGCTTGACAAAGCCCTGGCTGGGATGATTCAGATGGGGATTGGTCTTGCTTTGAGCAGGGGGTTGGACTAGATGACCTCCTGAGGTCCCTTCCAACCCTGATATTCTATGAACTCAAGTAAGTTAGTGTATGTCTACACTGGCAAGTTTCTGCACCACAAGTTATACCACTTTTATTAAAACACTGGAATTAAACCACTGTTGCATGCCCACACTGCGCTCCTTGTGACGCTGGAGTGCATCCATATTAGCAGCTCTTGCAACGGGACAGACAGCAGTGCACTGTGGGAGCTATCCCACTGTGCAACTGGCAGCAGGGTGCTTTGGGAAGGGTTTGCAGTGGGGCAGGCACAGCGTCCCATGATGCAGGGTTCCCAATCCCATTGTTCCATGGACATCCTACTACATTGCCAGCTGCTTTTCAACTGAAGTCCAGTGGGGTTGGGAGGGAGGGAGGGAGAGAGTGTGTGTGTGTATGGAGCGGGGGAGAGAGTGGGTGTCAGCAGGCTCTCTTGTAAGTTCCGACAGCAGCAGGAAGCAACCAATCCTGAGGCAGGGGGAAACACACACACACACACACACACACACACACAGCAGGAGCATTCCACATTAATGATTTGCTTTGTGTCCCGGAGCAGATCAGCTGTCGGAATCCAGGCTTTGAAAGGGGAGGGGCGCATGACTCCAGGGCAGCCGAGTTCAAAACAATGAGCAGTGTGGTCACTTGAGGCATTATGGGGCAGCTCTGGAGGCTAATTACAGTGAAGAAAGCAATCAAGTGTCTACACGGGCAATAGAGCGCTGGAGCCTCTGCGCAAACAGCCTTACAACTCTCCTTGAGGTGGGTTTTTTGCAGCGCTGCAACTGAGGAGTTTGTGCACAGAAAGTGGCTTGGCAGTGTGTACACGTCTGCAGTTTGAGCGCAAAAAGCTGCTTTACTGCACAGAAACTTGCCAGTGTAGACAAGCCCTAAGTTTGCTACCAGAATGCTATTCAATCAGTTGCCAAGCTTTCGATGAGATCTTTGTTCGTATGCTTGGGAGGAGGCATGAAGCAATTAATCTTGTCTTCATCCTATCCTGTATTCTCTATGCACCAGCAAGTGGTAGTCCCATAAACTTTGAGGGTTGTACTAAAAGTGCTTGGAGCTCTAACTATGTGCAACCCTGAGTCAGTTTACATGGTGTTAACAAAGCTTCATAAAAATAAAGTTAAGGAGTGATTTGATTACAGTCTATAACTACCTACTTGGGGAACAAATATTTAATTATGGGCACTTCCATCTAGCAGAAAAAAAGTATAACACAATCTAATGGCTGGAAGTTGTAGCTAGACAAACTTAGACTGAAAATAAGGTGTACATTTTTGACAGTGCGAGAAATTAACCATTGGGACAATTTACCACGGGCCAAGATGGATTCTCTGTCTCTGACAATTTTTAAATCAAGATTTGATGTTTTTCTAAAACATATGGTCTAGGAATTATGCTGGGGAAGTTCTGTGGCCTCTATTTTATACAGGAGGTCAGACTAGATGATCACAATAGTCCCTTCTGGCCTTGGAATCTACAAATCCTCAAAAAATTGACTTATACATATTAAATTGCAATGTTATCTCTTAAATAAGCCATCTCCTGGAGAACTTTGCCTAACTGCAGTCATGTTAATTACAAGACAAGGCAGTCCTTAAGTGATATATACTACCTGCTTGGAAAATGTGATGGTGACTTTGAGTGAGACCCTTAAAAGTGAACTGCAAAGAAAGGAAAATGGAGTTTGTGCCCCTTTTTGTGTTTATGATTTATAAAGAAGGTCTGAATGGGTTTATTTAATCCATTTCCTTTTCTGCATTAGAAATTCAGGTCTCCTGTTCTGATAGAACTACCAGTGAAAATAGGACTACAAGAAAGAAGAGATTGAAAGCGGAGTAACTGAGAAGGGAAGGGGTTTTTAATCACTGATTAGAGCTGGGTTTTTGTTTTGTGTTTAGGGTTAGGTTTTTTGGGGGTGAAGGCGTTGTTACTACCAATGGCTAATAAACAATTGGAAGAAAAAAAACTTTTGTTTAAAGATTCAGCATCCTTGCTCCTTTAATTAAGTGGTGAGAGCAAACAACAAATAGCACTGTGACCTCCAGGAAATCCTCCAGTAAAAGAAAGGAAGGCCTAACTTGAGATGCCTACTATTTTCCAAGATTAAAAAAAAACAAGCATTAATAAATAAACGTACCTTTCAGACATACTTCAAACATGATGACTAAAAGAGGACACAAGCACAATTTGTGTGTTTAAAAAATGTTGTATGCAGATCACCTCTAAAACAAATGATTCGGCCCCAATCTAGTCATTTGGCATGTTGGCCGGCACAGTGCCCTGTTGGCAAGGGTCAAAGGTGCATGCAGACAGTTTGGGAGTAACAGTAGTCCTAGAGAGTAACAGTCTGGATGACCGTTTGAACTCAGAAAGACTTCTGAAAGAGGTGCTACATTAGTCAACTACAAGCTGTATTTTGTTCTTGGCATCTAAAATTCCTGCTCAGCAGTAAATTCTGCGGCTGCCAACCTGCTGCTTTCCCCAGAGTAACTTACCTCTAAGCTTTACATCCCTCCTTCCCGCACTACCACCACTACTTGGCTTTTTGCAAAAATTTCCCACCATTGCAGCTCCACTGGTGGTAACAATAATAAGAGGGTTAGTGTAGATAAAATTTTGGGACCTAGTGGCGTGTTTAATGCTGTGTAATTAAGACCTGCTCTGAACAGTGCTAGAAGACATGTTAGACAGGCTGGTGGCTGCAGGGGCGTTGTCTACGCTAAGCCTCTCCACTTCTGCCACTGGTGGGGGGGTAAGGATCTCTGATGTAGACACAGCCCTAAAGACCTGTCTTTCTTACTACTTATATGCAGAGGCTGTAGCTCAGTGTTGCAGGAGAGTCCTCCAGCACTGTTATTGGTCAGTAAGTTTTGTGTGTTTTTCTTTTAATACTCTTCAGGACTGAGGGATTTTCAGGTGAGCACTTTTATAAACTGAAGCAAATAAGGTCTGAATTCACATAGCTCTGAAGTTGGATTTCATACTTGCTGAGTCAGGCTTTCTTTCATTCACTATGTAAGTGGCGTATATATGAAAATATTCCAAAAATTTACATTCACTGTTCTTTAAGAAAATGTGACTGAAAAAGTGTCCTGTGATTAGATGTAGTAGGTGAGATTTGCACATTCTGAAAAGCCCTTGCAAAATCAAAGTAGCAAACAGTGCACGGAGACTAGTGGCATTGTTATGGACCAGCTCTCAACTGTGCTTTTCTGGCTGCAGCACTGCTGTCTTGACAAAATGTCTGGTCTACTGGATGTTTCAAATTAGTTTAGTCAAGCTCTGAATATTTTGGCTGTTTCTGAAAACTAGGATGTTTATATCTTAAAACAATAGGTTGGTTACCAAAGTGCAACTAAATTCTTACTGGGGCAGGAGAAAGGGAGGTTGTGGAATCTGGAGATTTGTAAGAGCAGGTTAGACAAACAACTGTCAGGAATGGTCTAGATAATACTTAGTCCAACCATGAGTGCAGGGGACTGGATTAGATGACCTCTTGAGGTCCCTTCCAATCCTATGATTCTATGAAAGAAGCTGATCAGGAAATGCACTGGTGAGATCAAAAGGCTTTAGCTGTTTGTGACATAATGCATACTAAGGTTGCCAGGCATCTGGTTTTTGACCAGAATGCCTGGTTGAAAAGAGACCCTGGCGGTGCTGACCAGGCTATTAAAAGTCTGGTCAGTGGTGCAATTGGCCTACAGAAGGCTCCCTCACTGCCCTGGCTCCGCTCAGCTCCTGGAAGCTGCTGGCAGGGAGGCTCCATGCACCTTCCCCAGCCCCAGCTCAGCAGCTCCCATTGGCCAGGAACCCCTCATCCCCAGCCCTACACCAGAGCCCGCACCCCTAGTCGGAGCCCTCACCCCCTCCCATACCCCAAACCCCTGCCGCAGCCTGGTAAAAATGAACAAGTGAGTGAGCATGGGGGAGAGTGAGTGACGGAGGGGGGATGTAGTGAGCGGGGCGTGGGGCCTCAGAGAAGGGTTGGGACAGGGGCAGGGTAGGG